ATAATTGTTTCAGCTCAGCAAACAATATAATTTTTAAATAAATAATTAAGATTATTAAGGTACTTTGAAATTCCCAGGTTTTACCCTGTGTTTTACTTTTGAACTCTTTTTTAGGACTTAGATCTCTGCTATGCAACAATCTACCTGCCACTTTTCTACAACCTGAATCGCCAGACTTCGGTCATGTACTATTAACGCCTCCGGGCGATAGGTGTACACAAGATACGCCTTCTTATTTTTCTACCAAAGCGAACTGCCTATGAAAATTTGGATTGATTAACAAAAACTCTCAGTAGTTGAGGCCAAATGGCGAAAGTGAAAGAAAGCAATGATTTAGGTAGATTTATAAAGAGAGATAGATCAAGAAGATAAAAACCTAAAAATATAAAACTTAAGAGCACATACAAATAACATTTTTTCTTAACCCGCGAGCACACGCACCGATCTGACAAACACGAGCCGGGTATGTCATACCCGAATAAAAAGTTTGTAATCAAAATTTGCCGAATAAAATTAATCAGTTTTTAAATGAAATTAAAATGTAAAACCAAGTTAATACTTCATTTTAGACAAAATATGAAAGAATAAGGGGAGGTAAAATTATTTACTTACAATTTTTTGAACATTGTTTACAAAATGAGGTCATATGTTCCATACATATACTTTTGCTACAATTTTCACAAATGAATCTAGTCTTTCTATCTGTACACCTCTTGTAAGTAATTTTAGGTTTTTTTGGGGGGGTGTGGTTCATTGTTAACATGTTCATCGGTGGTCAGTGTTTGTCTAGAATCAGGAACTACAGATGCTCGTCGTCGTTCATTTTGAACACTTTCTATTAGCTGCATCCCTAAGGCTTTGAGAAAAGTACGCCTGGTAAGGTATTCCGTTGGTGGTTCCTTCTTTGATAGTAGAATTATTCCTGCATTAATGGCAGCCACGTTTAACACTGAAAAGAAAATCACCATAAGCCATCGACGTGCTACTCTTGCTGTAGAATACGCAGCTGCCATCTCGTCATGTTATAGAATGTAATGATTTCAGGCTTTTTAGATTCCCTAGTAGATTCATCGATTTGATCGCCGGAATGCATTGTGAATAACAGGATCACACTCTTATTTTTTTTTTTTTTTTTGGCACATAAGATACAAGCGTTGCTTCTTTCTGAAAACCAAAAATTGAAGAATATACTTCTCTTTTTCCTTTGCCAGAAACTCAGGTGGGATTTATCTCTTATTTTTACGCATTGTACCTACTATCGTAATTTTCTTCTTTAGGAGATCTTGAGATAATTCAATATCCCATATACCAATTATCAACTGTTAAATTTCGACCAGAGTTGTATAAGGGCCTTATTAAACGTTTGACAACTTCGCTTGCACCATTTTCAACTTGAAATGGCCCATCTGGTTGTTTACCAGCATAAATTTCCATACTCCAGGTATAAAATACCCTTGCGTCTACAAGAGCAAATATTTTTATGCCATACTTTGCTGGCTTGTTGGGCATATTATTGTTTGAAGGAACAACGACCTCTGAATGATTCCAACTTCTCATCAATGATCACATACTCTCCTACAAGTATAAGCCTTTTGGCAATTTGTGACAAAATTTCCAAAAAATTCTCTGATCGAGCTAGCTAATTTATCAACGTCTCTTCTACTGGGACGATCTCTAATGTCATCAAAACGGAGGCATCGTAAAAGAAAGAGGAATCGGCTCACTTAAAATTTTTTCCCGAAATATGTCCATTCCCGTTCCGTCTGTTGCCCACAAATCTCTTACGTTCACATGGGATGATTTATAAACTCCACATAAATACAGCAATCCAATTAAAGCTTTGATTTCCAACTCATTTGTTGCTTTCGCATCCCGTTCACGAGTGAAATTTCCACGTACTGAATCAATATAAATATTTGTATTGTCGACTACATGTTTTAACATATCTTCATCGATAAGCAGTGACCAGGAATCTAAAGGTGTTGAGACGTCTTTAGAATACTTCGTATTTCTAGGGAGTTTAGTTATAATATTTTTGGCTCCAATTCTAACATTAGTCCGGAATTTATTTTTGTTCCATTTTACTCCATTTTTTCCAACATAAAACTCATTGCTACATTGCAAAGTTTCATTTTCTGTTTCTGTATCTGAATCACTACTCTCTATGGATGAATCATGATTACTATTATATTCTTCGTCATCAACATCTTCATCGTCTTCACTAAATGAATCCTCATCAGAAGAAACTGTTTCAAGAATATTTCTCAATCTTTTCATCTCTTCATCGTAAGGAATATACGGCGCCATGCTTACAACTCAAGAAAAACCTATACTTGAAAAAAAAAAGCTTGAAAACGAGAAGTGCGAAGTGACTCACTGAGAAACGCGAGTACACGCGCGGGTATGACATGCCCGAACAATGCTGTTCCTAAAAAACCGTTGCACCTGTCACCTCAGGAATTTCCTCCATTTAGGTATGTGACCTTGAACTCAGCTACACCAAGTTTCGTCCTGTTATGAAAGAATGGGTGAGAAATATACAAAAAGAAAAATGCACATGGGTATACCCGTTGCGTGTGCTCGCGGGTTAAATATTACCCATTAACTGCTAGTTTGTATATTTTTAAATACAATAGATTTTTATATTATTGCCAAAACCAAAGAAAAAAATTAAAAATATCCATCAAAGTTAAGGAAAAAAGTTATTACTTTGAAAAAGATGAAATCTGTCTATGCAGTATAAAACATATAATTGAAAATTCTATATTAATTAACATATAATATTGTTATTTATTTATTGTTTTTCTTTATTATAGTCAAATATGACCTTCGGACTGCAAATTAATTGTGATTTGTAGTACAGAAATACTTCAAAAGTAATTTAAACAAGATCAATTACCATTTAAACAAAATACTGAAATTTATTTGCATATTTTATCAAAAAGAAATCCTTATTATTCATCACATTTAACACAATTTAACGTAGCAGAATTTGTATGAAATTGGTAGAACACATACATATATATACAGGGCTGTGGAGTCGGTAGGGTAAATGACCGACTCCAACTCCCTCATATGTAAACATACAGGCATGGGTTACAGCTTATTTTTTTAATATAAAAGAAGTCATTGATGCTACAGAAAAAAAAAAAAAAAAAAAAAATTGATGGCATAGCAAATTATTTATATTAATTTGCATTAGTTATTTCTAAGAAACAGTATAGCTTCGGTAAGTTCTTCTTTGTTGGAGGCCCATAGACCCGATTTGATAAACTTCAGAACTGAGAAGAGTCTTTTCACACTAACTTGAGTAGGAGGGAGAACTGTTACTGTAGGGCTACTTCTTTTAACTTTTCAGGATAGACTTTTATAAGTTCTAAAAGAGGTGTCTTGCAGGCGCAATCATATTCCTCTATTTCTTCAAAGGCCGTGTAGAAATCTTGTTTGTATTTTTTCATTTTTATATCTAAAGGCTCTTGGTTTTTTATTTTCATTCGCTTTGCCTTAGCCTTTCCACTATTATCCAAAAATATTTCTTAAAATCTAATTCATCACTAGAAGAGGATGATAGAGACTCAATTACAGTGTCTGCAGTTTGATTGTCCTGATTCGAATTCTCCAATTGTTCTAAGAATAATTTCATTGTTAATGAAAGTTCATAGATGACTTTCTTTGCCTTTTTAATTTGTTCGTCATCCATGAAAATTCGGTGTTTCGATTCTACATATATTGAACCCAGCGAGATCTCATTGTCTTAGCAAACTAGTTTCTCTTTTCTTTATTGAAGAAATGATTCCTTCTGCAATAAACCCTCCATTTCAGAAAGAACAAACATCCCATTCTTCCATTCTCGCCTCCTGTCAATTCTTAAGATTGCAGCTTTTTTGTGGCTATGTACGGTGTAGAAAGAAGAGTTTCCAATTCTGCAAGATCATTTTACATTCTTTCTGTTAGAGAAACATTAGGATTGTCTACTTCTTCTAAAAAAGTTTATAAGTAACTCTTTATCCTCAAATATGTACTTCCTTATCGCGTCGCTTGATCAATAATTGCTCCTTTTCCTGCTCTCTTCTTAAGAATGGCATCAATTTTAGAAGTTCTTGCTGTTACTGCTGCTTACCTAAATTTACCAACGAGATTTGTAACTAAATGAATCAGTTTAATTGCTAATGGCAAATATCACATCCCTCCTTATATTTACTTATGTCAGTAAAATATAAAATAACTATTTATTAATGTATACAGTTTATAAATAAAAATAATAACTCAGCTTGTCATTAATTTTTTTCAATTCAATTTAACTTCATTTCAAATTCCAACTGTCCAGCAAAAACTGGAGCCAGAGTCAACCTGTTTTTAGCGACTCCAGCTCCACCTCCTTTAACCCCAAAATCTGTCCGACTCCAACTCCACAGCCCTGCATATATACAATATATATATGTAATATATATATGCAATATATATATGTGTGTGTGTTCCATTATACACTTTTTCTCCTTGAAGAAGAGGATACTTTTACCTACTAAAAAAAGGGGGGTGACATAATTGCCTGACACCTTCTAACAAATCCTTCCTAATCTAAGGTTGAATTTTTGCCTAATTTTATTAATGTGGGATGCACTTCACTGCGAGGAAAAATAATTAATAATTTTTATGAATAATTACATTATAATTTTATTATTGATATTCAAGACCATGAAAAATTTGAAAACTTGTGAAGAGTTAAATATACTTGTTGCAAATATTTTCTTATTTTAGAATATTCTAATCTACACATTTTCATAAAAATAAGAATAAAAATATATGTTTATTAACCTCTGCACAACTTTTCCTGTTTTTAATTAGTTAAAAAGAAATTTCAAAACTATTCTACAGCATTAAATTAATTAGAAATCAGTACTTGAATTATAAAAATTTCATCTACAGTACAGTATACTGTTTAATGAAAGTTCAAAAAAGAGAAAACTTCATAATATAATTAAAGACATTTTCTTACTTACAAATTTACATGAAAATAGGCATGTGCACTGAAATATAAATATATTTTTACAATACAAATAATAAAAAAAATATCCATTCTGAATCATAAAACATATTTTTAGTTACAAATACATTTTTTATTCATTATTGGTTGAATTTATATTAAAAATATAAAGCTACATTTATAATAATAATCTTACTTGAAATAAATATTCTAAGAATTAAAATATAATGTCTGAATAATTATAATTCACATTTGAAGTTATATATTATCAATTAAAAAAAGGAAAGAAAAAAAAAAATATGGTAACTTTTATGAAAATTAGAATAATCATAAACATGTAACTATATCTAAATCATAAATAAATAAATTTTTTCTTAAAACATACTGTTAAAAATTGCTAATAATTTTTATCCATTTTCATAATGAAAGTTAGCAGTTAATTAATAAAATTGGACATAAAGGTATTTAAGTACCATAAATAGGAAAAGAAGCAATTTTCTGTAGTTTGTGGGATATTTTTCTTCTTTTCAACTTAACAAGAACATTTTACTTCAAAAAAGGTTCAAAGTGTTAAATATTTTTTTTTTAATTAAACTAAAGGACTAAGAAACATTTCATAACTTTCAAAATATCTATATTTAGGAAAATAGAAGAGTATTTTAATAAAACTAGAAATTAATTATTTTCTAATGAAAATACGTTTTCTATTATTTGATGTATAAATCATAAGATATATTCTTCTGGAAAAGATAATTAGTTCAAATGTTGTCATGCTTTCATTTAACACATTTTATTTTTATTACAAAAATTTAAATATAATAAAATAAAACACCATATGAAATAATCATACATTTATTAAAGTAATATTTTAAACAAAAAAACTACTTTTCTAGATACCTTGTATATGAAAGCAGTTCACTGCTAACAGTTTTCAACACTTCAACACTGTATTGCAAGATTTACAATGAGCAAGATTAAAATTCACCACACGCTCTTTGGCGCAATTCAATTTCAAATGTAAAAGAAATGACGAAAAGATCACAGTTGTGATGAAACATACCAAATAAAAGACTCAGGATTAAATCATTAACTTTTTCCTCCGTTAGCTATATTAATTAAAAAAGCTTATTAGTTGTTTATAAAATTTCACTAGTTCGATATAACACACCAGAAGCGACTGCCGACAAAAGTGCGTTTTCACAGTACTGCGCATATCTAGTGCGCAGTAAGCTGTTGTGCTCATCATGCTTCATGTCCTAGCGCAGAGTTTCCCGCCTCGCAAAAGAATGAATGCGATACTCCTCATTTAAATTTTTATTTCATATCCGAAAAAAACTTTTAACTGCGAATTAATTTACTAAGATAGTAATGGCATTCCAGAAAAGTATTACTTCTGGTACAGAGTTTATATTGCTATTTATCTTGCAAAATTTGATTTATTTATTAATTTTTTGTGAAATTTTTCTTTGAAAGAATGCAATTAATATTTGTAGCCCTATATATTTTAAGGTTGATTATGCACATAATTAAGCTAGGTTTAAAATTAATTTCACATAATGATTATAAGTCTTGTTATCTGCTAAAGTCAAATATATCTGTGAGAAAACTGTTACAAATTTATAGAAGTTACTGTTAAAAATATATATATATATATATTAAAGCACTATTTGTAAAAGGTTCTCCTGTATTTCAAGATAATTACTATATTTATAGGGGGGGGGGGGGGGGGGGGGGGGGGGGGGGGGGGGGGGGGGGGGGGGGGTCAGACTAATATTTTAAGTAAAGGGAGTAATTTAGGTTATGAAAAAGACAGCATAAATATAACATTTATTTGAAAATATTAGGACCTCTTAATAAAATACTTTTTTGAAGAAGGGAGATTTCAAAAATGCATTTTAAAGGGAAAAACGGGCATAGAAGATAAATACTATCAAATCGCTGCTATATAATGTTATCCTAACATATTTTTTATAGTTGTTTATGATAGTTTAGCTACATGCTGAAAATTACAGAAAAATAATTTTATAAATACCTCAAAATATATTAAGTGGAATTTGTTTTTATCTTGACCTTTCAAGCAGGTTTGATATATAATAATAATGAATAATTAGCTAGAATAAATGGCTTGATATGTTAGTAAAACATTTGAGGAGAAGAAAAAAACTTTAAAAAAATTAATTAAATTCTTTAAATTGAAGCAATTAAATATCTTCACTTTTTTCGAATCAATAAAACCGAAGAAAATATTTCATGTCGGATTTTGCTATGAGTGTTTAAATTTATACAAGAAAAAGAGCATAAAATTTTAAAATGCCCATGTGTTGTTTTTTCTCCCTGTCAGCAGACCGAAGCAAAATGTTACAGCTAACGTCAGTTACAAACGCGCGGCGAAATAGGGGATCAAGGTATTACGGCGCTGATCACTACGAGAAAAAATATAGATCCTCTTTTCAACAGCGCAGAAAATGATTAATGAAATGAATGTAGTTCTGAAAATGATGCAGAAGCATAACACTTCAGAATTTATTTCTATTTAAGAGCTAAAATTATCTAAAACATGAAGGGATTAAAAAATTGCATAAGCCATGCATTTATAGCTTTCGGCTATTCTTCGCGTTCCATGTCCAAAGCGTACGAAAAAGAGTTCTCTGTTAATAAACGATATATACCTATATACAGACATAGATCTGTAACTTTATTTCTATTCATCGAACGATGTGTTTATATACTAAGATTAGCATTGTAATAAAGTTCCGATGCAGAAAAATAAAATATGATAATGCTGCAAAATTTTAGCATATTCGGAATAGCAGCTATACGCTTCGCATTGAATGTTTCGAAATATTGTTAGAAAATATATTCAGAAATCATATTACAGCAGAAACTTATTTATTTCCTTTCTTAACATGTTTAGATAATAAAAAAATATCATATTCTCCTCTTTGAAACTGCCGAGAAATTTCACTAATATTTCAATATTTTTGCATCTCAACATAGTTTATCAAACCATGTGGAAAATCATTTAATGAAAATTTTACTCTATTAATAAAATTCGAAACATCCAGAAAGAAGGAAAAAAAAAAAAAATGTCTTGGGCGTAGCCTTAACTCGTGTACGTTTAGAGAAGTGTGGAAATGCGCCAAACGAGCCTTTAAATGCTTGCTGTATCTTCACAGTTGTTTGCGCATGCGTGACTACCTTTACCACTTTTCGAAGCAGTATTGAAATAAATTTGTTCTAAAAGACATTTACTGAACGCAAATTAGTGAAATAGCACAATCGATAAAAAATATAACAAAATTAATGTAGCATTTTATGAGCTATAATGCACCATGTATATAACACGGATGAACCATATAATTGTTCAAAATCGACATGTAATGCACTCTAGATTCGTTGTAAACTAATCTCCCTTCTATCTTATTTTTATTGCATGGTTGGTTTGAAGTGCCTTGCGAAAGTTTTAAGCAAAACAAATAAGAATATAAAAGAAATTTAGTCATGCCAATATCTAAATTTAAAAGTTACAATGTAATACATAATTTAGGCGATTTTTCGCCAAATAAGGTAACCCGTATTTTCTTTTTGTCCGAAAGCTCACTTCTCCGTTTCTGCGAGCTCTCTATTTTCCCGATGCCTCCTGACGCATTGCGTTCTGATGCTTTATCAGTTGCGTATCGGTTTTAAGCGGTTTCTAAGGTTGTTTTCTGTTTATGATACATAAATATATAATAGAAGCCTAATAATTTCATGTAAAGCATTCCATATACTACTTCAGTTTCTACTGATGATGAGTTTTAAACGAGAAATAACGGAACTCATTTTCAATAATTCTAAGTGCTCTTAGCAGTTTTGCATTTCTCTTATATAAAATAGATATCAAAATGAATTGGATATCTTTTTTCACTTGCCAATAATTAATTATAGATATGATAGTAATTATTTTTCGGATGCAAAAATATGCGCTTTTATTATACATATATCTACAGAATTTAAACATTTCATTCTTATTCTGCAAGTAAATTTCATTTGTAACAATACAGCAATGATATGAGAAATCTAAGAAATATTTTTTATATATATAAAAATTCAAAACTTCATTATTAAAAAAAAATTCTGGAAGTTTTCAGATTTTGCATTACGCCCAAAGGGACTTTTTTTAACGTTTTGTGTGTTACCTTTATTTATTAAATATCATGTTCTTTGCACTTAAACCATAAAATTCAATTCAACAGCAATATCGCAAAATAATTTTTAAATGAGCATATCGTTAGAATTTCCGATACACTGTCTCGTGCGCCAAAACGAAATTAATCGCCCTTCTGGGCTAACGCCCTTTGAGCTAAAAATTATTTTATTGTATTTGATAGTATTCCCAGACCGAGTTAAGGATGCATTTTGATGTATAACACAGGAGATATTATCGTCTCTTGTACATCTACCCGCAATCATTTATAAGAAATGAGATAGTTTTAAGAAAGAATAAACATTTTATTAATCATTAATTAAATGAAATTTCGTCTGCAATCATCTCTTAAAACATCTCATAATTTTTGGAATTCTTAAGGAATTAATTTTGTAGTTATTCACTGTCTCAATTAGAAAAAAAAAAAAAAAGACACAGTTATAATTTATAACAAAATTAATTTTTAATTTCAAATGCACTAAATTAATAATTAAAGACCAACATAGATATTTACAAATGAAATGAATCACTCTTTTCAAATATTTTTACGTGAATTTCCTACAAAATTTACTACCATGAAAAAAATGCGGTTAGATTTTGCCGAGATTCCAAACTTCAAATAATTTTTTAGCCCAGAAGATCTATTAATTTCAAAACGACATTTTGGATCAATTCACTTTTCAAACTGTTGCCACCGAATATTATCGCCATGTATTATTTAAAGAAACTAAATAATGAAGAATCTGCATGAATACATGAATGTTTCTTGCATTGTGAAAAATAAGCGGTACCTAGAGCCATCCAATTGTAAATAACGTAGTCCTCCAACCAAACATGGGCACTTGGTAGCCCGAATTTTGAATTTCGAATTTCTTTTACTAATATTTAAAATTTTGTAAAACTTTAACGAATTTTTTATTAACAAGCTCAACGATGTCGAAGCGAGGAATAGCAACACTACATGGAAAAAAAGAACATTTTTATTTCCAGCGCATGAGACTGTGTATCGGAAATTCTAAAGACATGCTCATTTTAAAATTATTTTGCGATACTGCTGTTGAATTGAATTTTATGGTTTAAGTGCGAAGAACATGATATTTAATAAATAAAGGTAACACACAAAACGTTAAAAAAAAGTTTAACAGTAATATAAAATATTAAAGCTTTCAGATTTCTTTTAAACATATATTTTAACAAAGTCTAACAAAGTATTTAACAAAATATTAACAAAGTCTTTAAAAGTATTTGTCTAAATAAATAATTTAATTAATTTGATAATGCGATAAATTTTTTCATCGCTTCAACACACGAGACGCAGCCTAGAGAGGCGAAGAACAAACGATCTCCTTCCCCAGTAGTTTAAATTTAATCTGTGGGCGGGTAGACTACTATACATTTCTTATTCTATTTTTGTGATCAGCATGAAGACAAAAATACCTAAAATTAGAGAATTTATTTGAAGAGTTTTATTCTGCGCAATTTTCAATTGCAATTTTATTACTAAATGTGTTCTTGGAATCCTAAATACGGCTTTTCGCACTTTTCATAAAACCGGAACAGCCCAGCAGTGGAAGTCGCTGAACACTGGTAGTGTGTCCGAGGTTCAAATCCTGGCGAACGGGATAACTGCATGGGCGTTTTCGTCGTATCCCCCATGTGTAACGTGTATACAAGCCAGTTTCCTTAAAAATTCCACCACGAAGGCATTTCTCGCTTTAGACAGATAGCCCTTCTTTGCTCTGCCATAATTAAATAAACCAAACCTAAATTTGAACAAACAAACTGGATTTTTGGACGCTTCAGAATGTAAAATATCATTTCGTGCCATTTTTTTGCATAAAACTGTATATACTCTGATAAGCTGTAATTTTCAGCATGATTGATAAGTTTGTTGCAGTCAGCATTTACGGTAGGCATTTGCAGTTTGATTTTATGAACTCGTAAGATAGCGGAAAAAAAGTATTCGAAAATGCGAGTAGCAC